CCCGGCTGATTTTTTGATTTATTGTAGAGATGAGGTCCCGCTGCCCAGGCGGGTCTCGAACCCGCGGGCTCAGGCAATCCACTCACCTCAGCCTCCCAAAGGCGCGGGATTACAGGCTGAGCCACTGAGCCCGGCTAAAACATTTTTTTTTGAATCAGGGTCTCACTCTGTTACCCAGGCTGGAGTGTAGTGGCATACTCATGGCCACCGTAGCCTCGACCTGCTGGGTTTAGGAATCCTTTCACCTCAGCCTCCCAAGTAGCTGGGACTACAGGAACGTGCCACCACACCTGGCTAATGTTTTGGTTTATTGTAGAGACAAGGTCTCGCCAAGTTGCCCAGGCTGGTCTCAAACCTGTGGGTTAAGGCAGTCCTTTTGCCACTGCCTCCCAAAGGGCTGGGATTACAGGCATGAGCCACTGTGCCCAGCCAAAGAAAAAAATTTTTAATTTTTTAATTTTTTTTTTTTTTTGAGTTGGAGTCTCACTCGGTCGCCCAGACTGGAGTACAGTGGCCGCTCCCAGCCACCGCAGCCTCGACCCGCTGGGCTCCAGCGATCCTTCTGCCTCAGCCTTCCAAGTTGCTGGAACTACAGGCACGCACTACCATGCCTGGCTAATTTTTGATTTATTGTAGAGATGAGGTCTCGTCAAGTTGCCCAGGCGGGTCTCGAACCTGCGGACTCAGGCAATCCACTCCCCTCGGCCTCCCAAAGTGCTGGGATTACAGGCTGAGCCACCAAGCCTGGCCCTATTTTTTAATTTTTAATGTTTTTGAGTGTGTGTGTGTGTGTGTGTAGGTGTGTGTGTGTAGGAGCCTCACTCTGTTGCCCAGGCTGGAAGGCAGTGACATGCTCATGTTCACTGTAGCCTCAACTTGCTGGGCTCAGGTGGTTCTTCTGCCTCAGACTTCCAAATAACTAGAACCACAGGTGTGCGCCACAGTGCCTGGCCAATTCCTTTGATTTATTGTAGAGACGAGGTCTCACCAAGTTGCGCATGCTGGTCTCAAACTCCTGGATTCAGGCAATCTTCTCGCCTCTGCTTCCCAAAGTGTTGGGATTATGGGCATGAGCCACTGCGCCTGACTAGTTTTTTTTTTTTTTTTTTTTTTTTTT